GGATCCAGATGTTCTCAGTGGACAGCGATACAGATGTGGAGGAGGAGGAGCCAAATCCAGATGTTGGGAGCCCAAAAACACCCAAAACGACCCAAAAAGATCTCAAAAATCCAGATGTGGCAGCAGAGACCCCAAATCCAGCTGTGGCTACAGAGACCTCAAATCCAGATGTTGGGAGGCCCAAAAACAGGATCCAGATGTTGCTGGGGGTGGACAGCGACACAGATGTGGAGGAGGAGGAGCCAAATCCAGATGTTGGGAGCCCAAAAACACCCAAAATGACGCAAAAAGACCCCAAAACTCCAGCTGTGGCAGCAGAGACCCCAAATCCAGATGTTTTGGGGACCAAAAAGGGGCTCCAGATGTTGTCAGTGGACAGCGACACAGATGTGGAGGAGGAGCCAAATCCAGATGTTGGGAGCCCAAAAACACCCAAAACGACCCCCAAACCCCCCAAAACTCCAGATGTGGCAACAGAGACCCCAAATCCAGATGTGGCTGCAGAGACCCCAAATCCAGATGTTTTGGGGGCCAAAAAGGGGCTCCAGATGTTGCTGGGGGTGGACAGCGACACAGATGTGGAAGAAGAACCAAATCCAGATGTTGGGAGCCCAAAAACACCCGAAATGACCCCAAAACCCCCCAAAACTCCAGCTGTGGCAGCAGAGACCCCAAATCCAGCTGTGGCAGCGGAGACCCCAAATCCAGATGTTTTGGGGGCCAAAAAGGGGCTCCAGGTGTTCTCAGTGGACAGTGACACAGATGTGGAAGAAGAACCAAATCCAGATGTTGGGAGCCCAAAAACACCCAAAATTACCCCAAAAGACCCCAAAACTCCAGCTGTGGCCACAGAGACCCCAAATCCAGATGTGGCAGCAGAGACCCCAAATCCAGATGTTGGGAGGCCCAAAAAGGGGCTCCAGATGTTGTCAGTGGACAGTGAGACAGATGTGGAGGAGGAGCCAAATCCAGATGTTGGGAGCCCAAAAACACCTGAAATGACTCAAAAAGACCCCAAAACTCCAGCTGTGGCAGCAGAGACCCCAAATCCAGATGTGGCAGCAGAAACCCCAAATCCAGATGTTGGGAGGCCGAAAACCAGGATCCAGATGTTGCTGGGGATGGAGAGTGACACAGATGTGGAAGAAGAGCCAAATCCAGATGTTGGGAGCCCAAAAACACCTGAAATGACCCAAAAAGACCCCAAAACTCCAGCTGTGGCAGCAGAGACCCCAAATCCAGATGTTGGGAGGCCCAAAAAGGGGCTCCAGATGTTCTCAGCGGACAGTGAGACAGATGTGGAGGAGGAGGAGGAGGATCCAGATGTGGCCACCCAGCTGTTCCTGCCCTCCCCTCCAGATGTGCCGGCGGAGGATCCAGATGTGGAGGAGGAGGAGGAGGATCCAGATGTTGGGTTCCCCAAACTCCTCCAGGCTCCAGGAGTTCCAGATGTGGCCCCAGGGCCTCCCCATCCAGATGTTTTGGAGTCCCAACCCCCGGAGGAGGATCCAGATGTGGCCACCCAGCTGTTCCTGCCCCCCCAGCCAGATGTGGACGAGGACGACCCCCATCCAGATGTTTTGGGGCCCTCAGGCCCCCCCAGGGCTCCAGATGTGGCCCCAGGGCCCTCAAATCCAGATGTTGGACCCCCAGACCCCCCCAGGGCTCCAGATGTGGCCCCAGGGCCCCCCCATCCAGATGTGGAGGAAGAGGATCCAGATGTGGCCACCCAGCTGTTCCTGCCCCCCCAGCCAGATGTGGACGAGGACAACCCCAATCCAGATGTTTTGGGGCCCTCAGGCCCCCCCCGGGCTCCAGATGTGGCCCCAGAGCCCCCCCATCCAGATGTTGGACCCCCTGACCCCCCCAGGGCTCCAGATGTGGCCCCAGGGCCCTCCCATCCAGATGTGCAGGAGGAGGAGGATCCAGATGTGGCCACCCAGCTGTTCCTGCCCCCCCATCCAGATGTGCAGGAGGATCGCAATCCAGATGTTTCCCCACCCCCAAAAAGACCCAAAACGACCCCAAAACCTCCAGGAATTCCAGATGTGGCCCCAGAGCCTTCAAATCCAGATGTTTTGGGACCCCCAGGCCCCCCCAGGGCTCCAGATGTGGCCCCAGGGCCCTCCCATCCAGATGTGCAGGAGGAGGAAGATCCAGATGTGGCCACCCAGCTGTTCCTGCCCCCCCATCCAGATGTACAAGAGAAGGAGGAGGATCCAGATGTTTCTCCACCCCCAAAAAGACCCAGAAGGCCCCCAAAACCTCCTGGAACTCCAGATGTGGCCCCAGAGCCCCCCAATCCAGATGTGCACGAGGAGGAGCCCAATCCAGATGTTTCTCCACCCCCCAAAAGACCCAAAAGGGCCCCAAAACCCCCAGGAATTCCAGATGTGGCCCCAGGGCCCTCCCATCCAGATGTGCAGGAGGAGCCCAATCCAGATGTTTCCCCACCCCCAAAAAGACCCAAAAGGGCCCCAAAACCTCCAAGAATTCCAGATGTGGCCCCAGGGCCCTCCAATCCAGATGTTTTGGGAACCCCAGACCCCCCCAGGGCTCCAGATGTGGCCCCAGGGCCCTCAAATCCAGATGTGCAGGAGGAGCCCAATCCAGATGTTTCCCCACCCCCAAAAAGACCCAGAAGGGCCCCGAAACCTCCAGGAATTCCAGATGTGGCCCCAGGACCCTCAAATCCAGATGTTTTGGAGTCCCAACCCCTGGAGGAGGATCCAGATGTGGCCACCCAGCTGTTTCTGCCCCCCCATCCAGATGTGCAGGAGGAGCCCAATCCAGATGGTTCTCCACCCCCAAAAAGACCCAAAACGACCCCAAAACCTCCAGGAGTTCCAGATGTGGCCCCAGGGCCCTCCAATCCAGATGTTTTGGGACCCCCAGACCCCCCCAGGGCTCCAGATGTGGCCCCAGGGCCCTCCAATCCAGATGTGCAGGAGGAGCCCAATCCAGATGTTTCTCCACCCCCAAAAAGACCCAGAAGGGCCCCAAAAGCTCCAGGAATTCCAGATGTGGCCCCAGGGCCCCCCCATCCAGATGTGCAGGAGGAGGAGGATCCAGATGTGGCCACCCAGCTGTTCCTGCTCCCCCATCCAGATGTGGACGAGGAGGAGCCCAATCCAGATGTTTCTCCACCCCCAAAAAGACCCAGAAGGGCCCCCAAACCCTCAGGAATTCCAGATGTGGCCCCAGGGCCCTCCAATCCAGATGTTATGGGACCCCCAGACCCCCCCAGGGCTCCAGATGTGGCCCCAGGGCCCTCAAATCCAGATGTGCAGGAGGAGGATCCAGATGTGGCCACCCAGCTGTTCCTGCCCCCCCATCCAGATGTGCAGGAGGAGCCCAATCCAGATGTTTCTCCACCCCCAAAAAGACCCAAAACGACCCCAAAACCTCCAGGAATTCCAGATGTGGCCCCAGGGCCCTCCAATCCAGATGTTTTGGGACCCCCAGGCCCCCCCAGGGCTCCAGATTTGGCCCCAGGGCCCTCCAATCCAGATGTGGAGGAGGAGCCCAATCCAGATGTTTCCCCACCCCCAAAAAGACCCAGAAGGGCCCCAAAACCACCAGGAATTCCAGATGTGGCCCCAGGGCCTTCAAATCCAGATGTTTTGGGGCCTCCAGACCCCCCCAGGGCTCCAGATGTGGCCCCAGGGCCCCCAAATCCAGATGTGCAAGAAGATCCCAATCCAGATGTTTCTCCACCCCCAAAAAGACCCAAAAGGGCCCCAAAATCTCCAGGAATTCCAGATGTGGCCCCAGGGCCCTCCAATCCAGATGTTTTGGGGCCCCCAGACCCCCCCAGGGCTCCAGATGTGGCCCCAGGGCCCTCAAATCCAGATGTGCAGGAGGAGGATCCAGATGTGGCCACCCAGCTGTTCCTGCCCCCCCATCCAGATGTGCAGGAGGAGCCCAATCCAGATGTTTCTCCACCCCCAAAAAGACCCAAAATGACCCCAAAAGCTCCAGGAATTCCAGATGTGGCTCCAAATCCAGATGTTGGGACAGGTAAGGAGGGGGGGGAGGGG